GACCTGGTGACCGTCTATAAACTCACTAGGGGGGACCAGAAGGGTTTGGGGGAGACCTTGTTTCCCCTAGCGCCCCCTGGCATGACAAGGAACAATGGACACAAATTATTAGAGAGTAGGTTTAGATTAGACATCCGCAAAAACAACTTCACAATTAGGGTGGCTAGGAGCTGGAACCAACTTCCTAGGGAAGTGGTGCTGGCTCCTACCCTGGGGGTCTTTAAGAAGAGGCTTGATGCCCACCTGGTTGGAGTCACTTGAGTCCAGTTTTTCTCCCGCCCAGGCCGGGGGTCGGACTTGAAGATCTACAAGGTCCCTTCCCACCCTACTTCTATGATTCTATGATATGATTCTATGATTCTCTGTGATTGTTTTTTCTGCTATACCAATGCAGGTAGCTGCTGCATTCACAAAGACCAAAGAGGTTGAAAGTGATTCAAAAGAGGAGAAAGGGGTGTCCTTAAAGTTATTACCCTAATCTGGCATCTGGATTCCAGCCTTACATCTGCAATAGAGTTTCTAAGCACTGAAGAGTGAGCCATGGGTGCATCCACCAGTTCAGAAATAGCCACAGCTTTGAGATACTTGGCTGACTGGATTTCAGAAAACTTGGCCCTGATTTTCAGGAGAACCAATCCCTCATGACTTACATTAAAGCCAACAGGAGTGGTAGGTGCGCAGCCACTGCTAAAAATGAAGCCGACAATGTTGGGCTTCTCCTCCTTTGGATTTCAAAAAACATTACTATCTGCACCTGAAAAGTTTGACCTTAATTCCTCTAGAGTCTCAGTGCCCCTCACTTTGTAGGGAAGTTGTGAAGATGGTTTAATCAGTTGTGAAGATGCTCTCTGATACCTTAAAGATGAGCACTGCAGAAATGCCCATAAGGAAATTAATAATCCTATATTTAGTTCAGGGTTTGGGTTATATGCAGTAAGTAGCATGGGGGTTATTTTGGGATGAAAAAAATGTATAGACTAGCCAACTAGTCAGCAAGCACCATCTCTACCATGCACTCAGGCAGTGATCAGTTGGAAAAAATAGCATGTGATCATGAAAGGAATGGCTGTATCATAACATATTCACAGAAGAAGGCCAAAATGAAGTTGTATGAGGAAAAAAAATACTGGGCCTCTTTAGGACTGCTGTTGTTTCCATCCTTAGTTTGAATATTTGCATGCAATTATGGTAATCCTAAGAACAATGCTTCCAGTTTACTTGAAAATTTGACTTTGGATGGGTCATGGTTAGGTTCAGGTTTCAACAGCTTTTCATGAGCTGACATTTCAGACTGCTTGCAGATTCAGGAAGACAAACAGCTCTGTATTAGGAATACTTGGTTTCCTCATAGGAGGTCACTTCCTAGCCATAAGGACTAAACACTTGTGTTTAAAACCCAAACGAGCTGGCAGCCTACAGTGTAGGAATGGCTTGTGGCAGCCAGTTTACTACCTCCATAGCTCAGTCTTGCTCATGGGCTTAAAATTAAACCCATGCTCCAATGAGTTGCTAAATCATAGCCAAAATTGCTCAGCACTTCCGGGGATCAAAGTCAAAGGCCAAAAGCAGCTGTTAGTTTCTCCCAGGATGAAGCCTTTTATGCTGGGATCCTACAGATGGACAAGCCCAGTGTCCCACTTCAAGTATTTGTGAAGTATCTGAATTAACACTTTTCCCCCAGGACAATCCTAATTAGAGTTAATTGCTATTAAACAGTTATCCCTCCCTTATCTGGATGTGAGTCAAAGCCCAGGAAAGTTATGATCCGAATAAATGTGTCTGTTTTTAGTCTAAGTGAGCTGGATGCAGTCTGTTCACTGGGTGGCCAATGACTCTGGCATAGCCTTCACAGTGTTTATTACTGCTTCACCCACACACACACATACTGTGCAGACCCCTGGATGCCTTACTCTGTGCTCTGTTCTGAAAGGTAGAGAGATGCCTGGGCACTGGAAGCTCTGTGCAGCATGCTGAGGAGACGCAACCTTCTCACCACACTTCTGATTGCCCTGCCATGGGCTCTTCTCCTCACCTTGTGGCATCAGTACCCAACCACCCGCTACCTCAGCCTGCTGAGAAGTAAGTGCAAACATTTTGCCCTTAATAATGCGACAGCTTGGTCATAACAGTGCTATGGCAAGGGAGGTCATGGAAAGCACATTGGGGGTTGTTCTTGTGAGCCCTTGGTGGGAAAGAGCTTCATGGAAATGGTTAAACCAGCAGTTCCCTATCTGTGGTATGGGTACCACCAGTGGTATGCAGACATTCTAGCAGACGTACACATTAACAGATTTATTACAGTTACTTTATATGACAAAAATGTGCTGGTGGTATGCAAGGTTGTATCATTTTAAATTGGTGGTGCACAATCTGTCAGAGTTTGGCAACCACTGAGTTAGACGAAGAGAAACTTGCTCAGAGAACCCTGCAGGGTCTGGCTCCAGCAATCACCCAGGTAGTTTTCATGGGCTCTTCTGTCTGGATGGAGCCTCAGAGGGCTTGTCTTTACCACTTCAGAGCAAGTTGGGAGGTAAGCCAGGGGGGATGAGACTAAAACACACTTCTATCTGAGCCAAACAACCCAGAGCTATAAGCTCACTCATGAGGTTGCACTGGACTTGTTCCCAGCCCCTGCTTTTGAGCCCTTGGTCTCTGGCAGGCCTGAGGACAGGCACTGGGGACAAATCTGAACCAGCCTCATGGACAAACTTCCAGTTCTAGGGTATATCAGCAGACTCAGGTGAGTGAAACATGGGCTCAGTCCTGGCCTCCCTAAGACCCACTGCCTGATGAGGTATAGACAACCCCAGAGAGCAGCCCTGTTTAGCATGCATTGTAATTACAGCTGAACCTTCCCAAGGAGACTTCTGGTGATGCCAAATCGACAGATCTTGCATTCACATAATTTTTTTCCCCTAAACTCTCCAACTGTGTCACTACTGCTGAATTAATGAAAGTGCTGGTGTTTTAACACTGTTTTATGCAGGCCTGCTCTGAGCAGGTATAGAGGGTAGAATATTTACAAAACTGAAAGCCACTTTGAAGTCCTGTCAGTGCTATTACTCCTCTGCTGTGACCAGAGTTAATACCCAAGCCCAGCTGAGCAACTGCAGTGTTTTGAGGATAATGGACTTGCTGTGACCATGCCTGGTCATTCTGGATTAAAGGTTCGGTCAGGTGAAATACAAAAAAGAGAAAAGCAGAGCACAGCCAAGCAAGAGCGAGAGAGCTGCTTTGGGGTGATGGAAGTAGGCAGGGTGCTGACTTAGCTGGGGTTTCTGCAAATGGCATCGCCTGTGTGCAGTTTGCAGCTGTTTTTGTCATCTCTGCTCAAGGTAAAGAGCAGCTAGGTAGGTTTTGCAAATGCTGATTAATTAACGGGGAATCGTCAGAGTCTATGCCTCAAAGTCCTCCTCCAAAAGGAAAAGGTGAACTTCTAAAAGACCTGTACTCAGCAAAGAGGCAACAGCAGGAGGAGCAGCAAGCACAGCACTGGAGCTCCACTTGTCTGCGCTTCATACAACTTTTCTACCCAGTCCACAAGGCTGATTCTGTCACACCCGCAAAGCATCAGCCTGTCACAGGACTTGCATAACACAGCCAGGTTTTTCAAATGCCACATTTTTCATCAATAAGGAACCTTGTTCCTGAAATTGGAAACTTTTTCATGGCTGCTTTTTAAGTTCCCTTTCCTGCCCACCCCAACAAACCTAGAAAATGAAAAACAAGAAAAAGAATTGTTTTTCAGTTCAACAGTTTTCTTTATTCCCCAGATTTGTCCCCATTTTTTTTCCTTTCTCGCTGTCCTTTTTCAGTGGTAAATTCTTAGGGGGAAAAGGAAAGAAAGGGGCAAAAATGAAAAAAAGATCATTAACATTTTCAAATGAACAGGAAACAATTCCATTTCACAGCCTGCTGAAGGAAAATGACTGTGACATTTTTCAACCCCCTCCTCCCCCCTGGAAAAAAAATCTTTGTCTTTTTTTTTTTTTT